CATCAGTCTACATACATGTGGTAACTATAGATTTTTATGTAAATGTCACCTGTAATCAACTGCACTAGTATTAGCATGGTTAAATATTTTTCTGCTTTGAAACTTTTTGCAAACCGGCAGTTGAAAACACTGTTATAGTTGAAAACACTGTGATTACCACTGAATAGGGATTTGAGAAAAAGGAAATGATTCAGGCATAGTAGAGTGATAAAAGTATAATGTTAAGTCTATGGGATAAACATGTCAGCCACATGCATTCCATTTAGCAATTTAGTTTTTTAACCTTCAGAATAATTTGTTGCCAATCTTCTATTCTAAATTCCTGCTTTTTTTTTCTAATTACTTAATGTAAAAGTTTTAATTAACATGTATTTAAATTTATTAATGTAAAAAAGTATACTGTCTATTGAAATAAAATAAATCAATAATCACTTTGAAAAATTAAAAATATTACAGACTCTTGAACTAAATTAAAAAAGTGTATTAAAAACAAAAATTTAAAATAAATTTATTTTGTCAATATTAACTGTATCACCATCTATAAACTTTCAATCCCTCAATCTTCCGAAAGCTGGTTATACACTAGTAAACAACAGTATTTTCAGTGCCTGTGTTTTTATTTTACCATTACCACAGAGTGAGATCAAAATGTGATTCTAACTGTCCGATTCATTACTTTTTCTAGAAATTCATTAATTGGCATTAACTAACTACCAACAAAAAGAAGAGTAAACTTAGTAGGTCTAAGAGTTTTACTTGCAAAACCCAGGACAAGGAGATTGGCATGAGGTGGGCTGTCATTTCCATCATTGTTAATCCAAAGCCCTGTTAGTTAAAGTTGGTCTGTCTTAAGAATGTTAAATTGACAACTTGGAATCTGGATGCAAAACTGAAAGAAGCCATTGGGAGACAAAACCAGCAGGAAGAGCTTCATGGTACTAGAGAACAGGTAGATGCAAATTGTCTGCAGATGTACCCAGAAAACACTTGTTATACTGATGATTTTTGAGTAAAATGCTAAACTTAAAATGCAATCAATGAGCTCATTTAAATTGAAAAAAATTATCAATTTTAATAGGTTCTTGCTAGTAATACATTTTCAAATATGATTTATAAATTCTGCACAATAATTTTAACATATAAAAAATTAAAATACAGCTCTCCCTTGATAGTCCGATGTTTTTTTAATCCGACATGCTCAGTAGTCCGACACACCTCCCGTCAAGGTGTGTCGGACTATCAAGGGATAGTCCGACACACCTTGTAACGGGGACATGTAACGCAGACCCGTCCCCGTTACATGTCTGCTTGCACAGAAGCATGTCGCAATGTGAATCTCCCCATCCAATTTTTACACGATGACACACATTTCATGTGTTTTCTGTGAGCAGTTCTGTTTGAACAGTTGGAGTAGGGAATATTGTAAGCTACAGCTAGCAAAACAATGCAAAATATGTAATAATTTTCGGTAATCCCGACACTTTTGGTAATCCAACACCCCTTTGATCCCATACCTGTCCGACTATTAAGGGAGAGCTGTAATTGAAAGTCAAATGACAAATAATAATTAAAAAACAAAAAAAAAAACAAACATTCTTGTTATCTACAGGATAATTTTCAAGTAGACATTTCATGGTAGGTCTAATAAAAAAAAAAGAAAAAAAAGCTTATTTGCATTTAAAACAATGCATCTTTCAGTAAATGACTAATATTATTCTTAATGAATTCTGTTTTAGTAACATATATAATACATAAGAATAAAAGGATATTTTGTTTTGTTAATAAGAAATAATTTGAAAAAAAATAGAACTCAGTAAATTTATATATTAAAAATTATATCATAAATCTAAATTTCAAATCAGATATTTTTTTAAATATTAATTACTAAGCAAAAAATTATTAGAAGAATTATATCACTACTTTGCAATATCATATATTACAATATAAAATTATAATAAATATAATAAATGCAGTAAATTGATTTGGCAATGTTTATCTCTGCCAATCAAAACTGGAATTCTTACTAGAGTTGTAAACCATTCTTAAATAAAAAACCAAATTGAATAATTGGTTTAGAAGTAAATATTCACAAGAAATGGCTTTGTAAAATTTACTTTCTGTAGTACTAAACTACTTACAAGAAGTAATAAAAATATTTAAAAATGTCTTATATTAATGACTATATAAGCAAGTGTACTGTTAACATTTCATCATTTTCTCACAAATTTAAAGTCTTATGTTGCATGGTACCCCCACACATCATAGCAAATTAAACTGTTTACCAAACATATATAATATAAAATACAATATGGTCTGCTTATTGTAGTCACAGTGTTATCACACTTATCAGTCAGTTAATACTATCAAAATTAAGTGCCAAAAATAAGTTAATATATATTATAAAATCTTCATTTATTGTAATCTTCAGCTAATGGGCTTTTTTAAGCTTTATTTTTGTGTATCATTCTAAACATGTGGCCAATAATAATAATAAAATGCATGCTATCAATCTTAATATTTTATGTTTAATAACAATTAAAACAGTTAACCAGTGCTTTATAGTCAATGTTTGGAAAGAATCAACTTGGGTGATAACCAATGAGCATCAGCCATTGATCACTAAGTTGTGGCAAGTTACTTCTGGTTTCTTCCTTATTTGTTAAATATGTCACCTCCATTATTAATAGTATCATGAAAGCTTCACATTCTGGTTTTTGAATATAAGGAAGTTTGCTATAGTAGCAGTTAAACACAATTCTTTAGTTAATAAATGCTATAAAAAATTAACACAATTAACGAAAAAGTCATTCTGCCATCTAGTGAAAGAAAATAAAATAAAAGTCACATATTGCCTGACATCCAGTGAAAAGTGCAGACATCATTAGGAAACGTACTGATTGGTTTAACTGAAATGACATCATGCGCGACATTGCTCTCAAGTTGATTCTTTCCATAGACAGACTATACCTTAATAGTAATAATTTCAAAAATCTTGTAAAAAGGTTTCATCAATTTAAAAAAAAAAAAAAATCCAAAAGAGCAATAAAATGTTCATAATGACAAAAAAGTTCCATAGTTGATGAACTAACACACAGTGCCGGCCCGAGGCAAGTTTTAGGATGGAGCGAGAACCTATTGTGGCGCCCGCTTTGGTTGCCCCTAATTTATACCCTTTAATTTTCTTTACCACTGAGGCGCCCCTAGGACTTAGCGCCTAGAGCGGCTGCTCCGTTCGCCCTATGGTAGGGCCGGCTCTGCTAACACACCTCACAACAGACCTTTATATGTAGGATATTATTGGAATCAAAAGTTTTTATCTTAACTATAGTCAACTTTCATTATTAAACTATGTATTGCCTTGCAATACAATAGTTTAATAATAGCTAGCCTAATGCCAGCAATTTAAACTTGGTAGCAGACAAACAATACTGGATGAATTATATATTAATCAATAATAATAATGATTAATAAATCTTCAAGTTATACATTTTAATGTTTTAACATGCCCTTCTAATGTTAAGAGCAAATAAACCAGAATTTCTTTTAATTGTAATCTTATTTCACTTAACATTTTCAGTCATTCATTATTATCAATTTAGATAAGGCTACAAAATTACTACTGTACTATAAGAATTGTCTTAGAGAACATTTGATATACAATAATACAGGATAAATGATGATAGTGCATATTATAAATATCAAAAATAATACCATATACATATTAAAAATAGCTTTTTAAATATATTTTATTATTTTCTGAAAATAAATCCTTGTGTTCAAAAATGTTAAGGTCATTTTTTAGTTTGATAATTTTAGTAAAGTAATTAGACACTCAATATTATCTTTCTTACAAATGTAAATGCTTTGATACCAACAACAGAATGCATTGTCGGATCTGTTGTCATCATATTATTATAATTTTAAATCACAAGATAAAACAGTCTTAATCACTTAAAGAGGGATTTTTGGAAAAATAAAATAAAATGTTACGTCCATCAGAACCGACATTCACCAAGTCAAAGAATTTCTCCGAAGACCATTTTATTTAAATGCATTCCCCCAAATAAAACATCTGGAAATAAAATAATCTTCCAGGCAATTCTCAAACTCGGGTGAACATCAGATTCCAAGAATATATCATTTCATTTTATTCTTTTTGGAATAAAATAGCCTAAAACATTCTAAAATGTGTATTACAAATAGAACTGATACAATTCACAAAAGGAAATTTAAATTATTCCAAAATGTTAACTACATAATTTTATATTCTATTTTACAAACCGTATCAAACTTCCACTCGGAGTGCAGATGCCGGACTAAAATAGTCGAAAAACATTTCTAAAAGAGCAAAAATATTTTCGGTTTCTTAACTCGGCAGTTAATTTAAAAAATTTTTGAATACGGCGCCGACTTTCATGCTATTCTTTAATTATACAAATATTTATTTCCCCGTAATAAAGCAAACATTTTATGCCAATTCTCCACGAATTCAATTCAAATTCCTTCGAAAAATACCTTAAAACAGTATCAAATAATAATAATAATTTATGAAATAATCAATGTTGCAATTGAATTATGACATTGATATTTCGAATTAATTTTTCTGTAAACGTGTAATTCGATACACGTTAATTGACATTTAATTAACATATTAATTTGATACGGTAGAAGTTACTTTTAGACAATTTGTGTATAGAAGTTTATACAGACAAATTACCTAAAAGTTACTTCTACCGTGGATATTTATATATATAAAGTATATATGTGTATTGACGTTGTACGAATTCTATTTACATAAAAATATATAAAAATAGCATTTTCTCGGTAATCAAAACAGGAAATTATTTCTGACTTAATCAGCAACGTTGGCCTTTAAAAAAAAATAGAACAATGTAATTTCTATATTAGGTCATAACACGTTGCTATATGGAAATTGATTAATTTAATATTTTCAATGCGTTCTAATGGAACTCGATTTCCGATACAAAACTGAAACTCACCTTCGACGTCAACACCCAAACTAAAAAAAAAAAAATAATAATTTAAATAAATAAAGGAAAATAAAAAAAAAATTTAACCTAAATTTAGAAAGATCCTATTTCGTCAATGAGAGTTTGATCGCGCGACTGAAATAAAATTTGACATATTAAAAGTTATTCTCGCATCTACAAATCGTCATTCAATAATATACTAGAGGAAATATTTATAGTAATTAAATTAATAAATATTTAAATTTTAATAAATAATAATATTTTAAAAATGTTTTTCGAAATGAGTCATTTATTAATAAATATATATATTATATTTATTAAATTTTTCT